GGTAACTTAAGTTGATAAAACTATCTTTTGAGGGCTAAACTGGCCTCCTTATATACCTTTTACTAGAGTAATGTTACTCTAGTAACTTTAGTAACTCCCTTCACTGTTGTTCCTATAAAGTAGAGCTGGCTAATCCTTCAGACTGTATACTATACTGGTTTGTGTCTTCTATTAATCTGCTAACACTAGTTTGTGTCTTCTTGTATCCTAGATTAATCTTCTAATAACTTCTTTACTGTATTATTATGTCTTTTATACTTTCTCTTATACTTCTAATAACTCCTAATGAGTCCTCCTAACTAGTTATACTGTGTAAGCTATATAATGCTTTTCTTATAAAGTAGAGCTCTCTATTATTCTTATGACTCTGTCTAACTCAACCTGTACTTCCTGTACACTAGTTTGTAATACACTTTCTCATAAGGTAGAGTATTATAACTTTTAATAACTCTTTATAACTCTTGTAATATAAAAGGCTGTACTTCTGTACTGCCCCTAGAACTTACAACCAAAGTTCTAGACTGTCTTGTATACACTCTAGAACTGACAACTAATGTTCTAGATCTTTCCCTAAGTCTTCTTTAATAGACTTAGTTTAGGAGACAATTATCCTTATTAACTTCTAGCCTTATCTTTGTACTTCTGTATTTAATCATAGAACTTACAACTAAAGTTCTAGATTGCCTTATGTATTCCTTATATTGTCCTTATATAGTCCTTATGTTTATGACTTTATTACTTTCCTATTTATATAAGCAAAGTGTATAAAGGAGACTACTTTTCTATAGTCTCTCCTTAGAGCTCTTAGTTCCCTTTCCTTCACTAGTACTAGTCTTCCTCAAGTATAGAGCTTCAGATTATTAGCTATGGCTCTTTACTAGCTTTGATAGTCCTTTGTCTTTGTATAAAGAGTTTCTAGCTAACTATATAGTTTCTTCTTAAGTAAGTATAATATTTTCCTTTTATCTCTTTAGGTTTTCTCCTAGTCTTTTCCTTTATACTTCTTACTCTAAACACTATACTCTTTCCAGATCCCCTCTCTATACAAGCATTCTAAATGACTTGTCTTTAGTTAAGGTTATTAAGTAATACTGTACTAGAGTATGTGTTTAACCTTAGAGAGATAAAGACCTTGTTTACAGGTTTTGTTACCTTTTCCTAACTAACTTAGTATTTACTCCTTCCTGTCCCCTCTCTCTACTAATAGATTGATCACCTATTAGTAATGATTAGAGGTTTATAATACTAAGCTAGAGTTCTTACTAAGTAGGACAACAAAGGTAGTCTAGTTAATCTGGCCAATCTCTAGACTTGTAACTAATAGAGTTTTGTATATAAACTACTTAGTTCCAAGTCTTGAGTTAAGCTTTTCCAAACTTAGTTACTGTATTTTACAATTCCTAACACAATTAGTATTTAGACATTAAGCTTAACAGGATATTCAGTTTTGTATTACAGTTAGTTATTATATGTAAAAGAGTACACATTTAAAGACATTCTACTAATATAAGTGTAAGGTACTACATTTGTAGGAACTAGTCTATTAGAAAAATCAAGGACATAGTAGAGGAATTTTGGAATACATCTCTACTACCTATTATTACATTACTATCCTACAGAAGTAGAGAAATGTACAAGGTCAGTTAGAAGCTATAATACTAATACATTCTATTAAGGAAGAAGGTTATAGCTTTATTAATCAGGGATCTACCTCTACACTTCCTAAAGACACAGGAGAAGAGAATATTTGTAATTACTATACTGCTAGAATTTCCACTTCTGTACATATTAATCTACACTATATGTCTCAGAATACTTAAGAGCCAAAACACTATATCTCCCTAGGAACTCTATCAATTCTCTTCAAAAAGTGTTGTATTAATAGTAACAATCAAGAGGCAACTTTTCTACTAATTGACTATACAGTAATATTGACTATGTTTAATTCTATTAATGTTTTATCTAGCTTTACATAGTTTAGAATCATACTACTCACTGTTCAGAACACTACTACTGTCTTAATACTTACCAGATTGACTTTGGATCAGTTTAGAGAGGTAGTACTACATTATAAGAATGTTTCCCATATGTATGAGTAAGGTATTTTATTATTTACTTTTTACTAACTGTTACTTTAAGTAAGTTTACTACCTTTTTTACTAATTTTTAGTATTTAGGACTAAATGCTAGAGGGCAAGTGTAAGGATTTGATTTACTAGTTTGTATTTTATTATTACTACATTACTGATTGAGTCAGATCATTGTACAGTAGAACCTATAAGTGTATATATTCTTATTATAGTTAGTTACACTTCCTCCTTATGTATCTACATGTGTACTACCCTATAAAAGACAGTATTAATTACTAGGTAAAGGGGATTCTTTTCCCCTGACCCCTTACTTAAGTACTAGGTTATCCTAGTTAGTAGTTGAGTGAACTAAGAGTAATTAGAATTCTCTTGTAAGGAACAGTAAGTTTCCTTACATTAGGATTATGTTTTCTGGTTGTACAGACTCTCTTAGAAGCTTATTCACAATTGTAGACTGTAATTTGAGTTGAAATTCATACAGGACTTGTATGTGCTTCTCAGAATTCAAGAGAACCCTTCTACTACATATTACCTACAGACTGATAGTCAAACTGAGTAAGTCAATTAGGAGATTAAGCTCTATCTCTAAATGTTTATCAATTATTAGTAGTTAGATTAGTCTGAATAGTTAGCTCTAACAGAATTTGTGTACAATAACTAGTAATACTCTATAATAGGACAGTCTCTATTCTTCCTTAACTATGAGAGACATCTGTATTAGGGGACAGTTCTGAACCAGAATAGTAGTTCTGAATCTGTAACAGACTTTATAGAACAGATATACAAGACTAGGAAGGACACACAAGCTCTTTTAGAGAAGGTAGTACAGGTTATAAAGTAGAATTATAATTAGAAGAGGTCTGTAGTTAAGGATTACTAGCCTGGTGACAAAGTTATACTAGAAGTTACTAATCTGACCACAGATTGTCTAATGAAAAAGTTAGACAATAAGTGCTTCAGACTCTTTGTCATTAAGAAAAAGGTTAGTACCTCTACTTACAAACTTTAACTCTTAGTAATCTGAAAGTACATATACTTAGTATTTAACAAAGTTCTGTTGTCCTAGTACTATAATCTGAGTTTTCCTTTACAATAAAGACCCTTACTACCTCTACTAGAACTTATTAGTTCTAAACCAGAATACAAAGTAGAGTATGTAGCAGATACTAAGCTAGTGTATAGAAAGCTCAAGTTCCTTGTTTACTAGAAAGGGTACCTAGTTGAAGAACACACTTGAGAACCTGCTAAGAATCTCACCTATACTGTTAAGGTAATTTAAGACTTCTATTAACTTTATCCAAGTGTCCTACATTAACTCTACCTTACAGATTTCTAAACTCTACTATTCTAGCTTATGTCTAAGCTACTAACCAAGCCTAATGTTTACTAATTAGAACAATTAGTTTTAGAGGGAGGGTAATGTTACAGTTCTCTACTTTTGTACCTTTAGTTCTATAGGTTCTGTACTCTTCTATACTAGAACTCAGGACTTCTGTCCCTTAAGAGTACTGTCTATAAACTATATATAAGCTGACTCTTACTACTACCCCTCCTTACTTTATTATTCTGTTCCTTTAACTACCCCTTCATTCTTTGTTCATTCTATAGTCTCTTACCCTCTGTCTATCCCTTTATTCTTTGTACATTTATCTTTAACCTTCCCTTCCTTCATTTCTTTATAGCTCATCATTCTTAGTAGCTTACTATTCCTTAAGTACTCTTGTATAGTTTAGTATATATAGGCATACAAGATCAGACTGGTCCTGTAGTCTTAATCTTGTCTACTCTAAATAGTCCTATACTCTTAGACTCACTCTATATACTCTACTCTTGTCTCACTCTCTCTTTCTGTCTGTTCTGTAAGTTCTGACTACATTCTAGTACTTGTGTTCTATATTTCTGTTGTGTAGGATAGTTGTAGCCTAGGTCTCTGTACTAAGCCTTCAGGTCTCCTCTATACTATTACTAATAAGATGATTACTACAAGTAAAAATCTGTAAGTTCATTTACTCTTTTTGTTATTACTTGTACTAATCTTTTGATAGACTGGCTGTTCTCCTACCAGGTGCTAAGTAGTTGTAGTCTACTCTTTTTAAAAGAAAACCTTTATGCTTTTTATCTTTCTAAACTGTCTACCTAATGTATTCTAATATATGCTTATTTTCTCTTACTTTCAATAGTAAAAAATATCTGTAAGTTGTTCATCTATATTATAGCTAGTAACTGTCTGTTTGTAATGAGTTGAAAGAGTAATATATTATATTGCTAGCTCTTTCCTACTGAAAGTCTTACTATAGATATTATAAGAGAAAGTAATATTCAAGTATAGTTATTATTTACAGAATGAAACTAGACTTTCCTAATACAAAAGTTTTCCTGAATATAAGATAGGATTTAAGGACAATTTAAAGCTCCTAACTATAATTTTTGGTGGACAATTTTAAGCAGAATAAAGCTTACTCTGGCTTGTAACATATACACATATTTATATTACTATTCTTTATTCCCTTGTATCTTACAAACTAACCCAAACAGTCTTACTTTTTTTGCAGAAGTTTGTGCTTTAAGAAACTATTCAATTTTTAAGACTGTAATGAAGACAAACAGTATAGTATATATTGAGAAAATAGTGTTTTAGTTTACTTCTGACCTTTAATAAACATTCTGTGACAGAAAATCATGTGATGTGGCTATTTCAAGTAATTATGCAAACAGCAGTAAATTATGAATTATATTTAACATTATGTAAGTTATTTTTTAAGGCAAGAAATTGTGAAATGCCTGATGTGCAATTTCTACATCCACCAGTACATTCTCATCCTTAAGCAACTTTAGCTTGTCCTTCAATTATCTGTTTCATTAATGGTGCAATAACCTTCCGCGTTGCCTTTGTATTAACCTGCTTGTACAGGTACACTCTCCGGCTGCCAATGCCTACGTCCTTCGGAATATCTGTATGAGGCTTTCCCTTCTGGAGTTTCGACACAAACTTGGAAACTGCATAAGGCTCTAGAGCAAGCTCAGACGCGTTCTCAACGCCCATGCAAAGCCGCCTTTCCAATTCCCCCCCGGGCACATCACGAATGATCAACAGAAGCTGACGTTTATGCTTGCTTCTGCCTCCCTTGAACTCGTCGCCCCTGTCTACGACTTCCTCTTTTCCGTGCTTCTCCTTTTGGAATGTCGTGAGGATGCCGAGCACATTTAGTTTGCGCTCATTCACGAACATGTCAACCTCTCGCCAAAATTCCTCAACCGAGTTCCGCACAAGCCATATGTGGAAGTCAATAGGGACTGTGCTCAAGCCGACTAACACAGCCCTTCCATTTTCTGTCCAGGCGTATTGCTTATAATCTCGCCGAAGTAAGTCGATTGTTGACAGCTGCCCAACATTGAATTTCTTCGCTATAAGGTCCTTTGCAAGTACTGAGACTATTGAAAGGCTCTCATGTGGGGTAAAAGTTGAGACTACATCGAGCTCCGAACGTGGCAGAAGATAAGAAACTGCCATGTGGTCGAGTTCCTCCGCCTTCCCGCCAGGCTTCAAACCTGACGTGTCTACAAGAATCGCACAGAGCAGCAGTCGCGCGACTTCGGGTAGAATTTGTTCTGTGGACGACTGTTCGATGTGACGTGCGACTATGGATGATGCACTGCCAGTCGGGACGATAATGGTGCGCGGGTTTGCGGAGTCCCTATACAATCCCTCGTCATCGTGATGATCTAATATCGCAACTACTTCGACCCTTTCGTTCTTGTCAGAGAACCGAGGAAGGAGACGATTGTGATCGACCAATGCAAACCGATTCGAAGGGAAGGACATTGACGAGAGCATGTCATCAATACACAGAAGCTCTTCCAGAGAGGGTGAAAGCGAGATGATCGAGAATGCATATATATTTTCTGGACGTAATCTGAGATCATCTCGCCGTGTTTGAAGCAGGGCGACGCATGGGTTTTGCTGCACTGTTGAGGCAAACCAGGAATACGCAATTGACGAAGCGACGGAGTCAAGATCTGATGAATCGGTTGAGCGCTGAACAAGGGAGAAATTTGGAAATAACAACGAACCTCCTGCTTCATTCCCCATTGCAACGATCCATCCTTGTCCTTTGTCTTCCTGCACGTCTTTGAGATAGTGATGCTTTGAATCCATAAGAAAGGTAGACAAAGACATGTTTCTGGCGCCTGGAAGATGTGGACTGAGAGAAAAGTGCCTTGCGGTGGGACTCGTCAGGGAGGATATATGACGTCTAGCTGCATTAGCTAACATGGAAACCTTGTACACATATAAATCGGTCAAGCCGAGAGCCGCAGTGGCAAGTACGCCTCTGCAAGGTCCACGCTGTAAATGTGGGTGATGCAAAATTCAAACCATCAATAGCCTGACAGGTTGCAGTTGTTGTCTGTTAACTCATGCAGTCGGATTTCAATTTTCTGGCATTGACAACTGAACAATATTGATGTTACATAATCTAGCTTCAACTGTAACCTTACTATTTGTTCTATGGTGCAACGCATAGCATGGGATCTGTAGTACACAGTTATTCACAAGCAGGCTTCAGGGATGAAAAGTAATCTTTGCCGGAATGACGTGTCCATTGACAACTTTCGGAAGTGAAGCAGACATCGAAGATCAGGCGTTTCGTAGTGAAAAAAGACTGAGCAGTTATGCAGCTCCCTGCGTAATCCGTATTGTCCGGCATACGCATGCCCAAAGGCTTGTAAACATATGAAGAAAGATGTATGAAGTCAACAGGATTAAAAACGACCTAGGGACAGTGACTGAATATAAACTCACAATATCCCACATGGGAATCACCCTTGGCTACTTCTTCCCCATCCACAACCAAGACATCCAAGTGGATGAACTAGACTGAGGAGGCGGAGCTGCAGAGTGTACTGCCTGTACGATTGAACTCGGTGGGGTGTCATTCTGTGTATTACGTGAACTGGATGGTCCAAAGCCTGTTTCGGCGTGATGTGTGTCCTCTGCCTCCTTCAGCCGCTTCTCAAACTCGCGTGATTCCCATTCTGTCGCAGGTGGATGTGCAATAGAGTTTGCATTGCCTGTAAGCACGCCCACACCCATTTCCTGCACACCAGCGACAACAATTGCAACGATAGTAAGACCTTGAGCAAGTACCCGTGCTCGTAGCCATCGTTGATATCCAACCGCGTCCCGCTGCTGCATTCTCTTGAGTGCCATTGTAAGTGCACCGACAGTAGCAATCATCCCTGACGCATGTCAACCCATAAAGAATTTTGGCTATCATCTTGTACTTGTTTAATAAGATTAATCAGACATACCAGTCGGAATGAGAGGATGTTTCCTCATCTGTCTTCCTGCTTTGTCAATGAGACTCGGCCGCCTCGGTTCTTCGTATGCTTCTTCCATCATACAAGTGCTGCTGTCCGTTTATTTGGATGGGATTTCAAGCAGCCGTATGGGGCAGGAGGCAGAATGAGACTAGGGACTGCAGTGGAAACCGTCACCAAAAACCGCAATCCGCAACCGCGGATAGGTTATCCGCGGTTGAAATTCTCACGGTAACCACAGTAACCGCGGTTACACTGCTAACGTTCGACTCCATACAC